TGTTCCCTGTGCTCCCAGCCTGGGGTCATGAAACTACTGCCCTTCCAACTCAGGTTGTGTCCCTTAACCCATTAGCCATAGACTAGAAAATACATGTACATATACATATACACACAAATACATACAAGACACTTTTATATATACACATACAATTATATACACACACATATATGTATGTATAAAAGTGACTTGTAAACTGCAAAACTTCAAATATGAGGTGCAGTTGTTGCTGTTATTACAGAAAATCAGCCTGGCATCCTCTGGTGGAGTTCCAGTTCTCCGTATGAGCTGTGTGAAATGGAGAAAGTTGCTTGCACTTCGAAGATCTTCCATCTCCTTAGACAAAATTTGGCTGATAATACAGTTGTAAGAATGAAATAGCAAAATATTTGCAAAGCATCTAGCATAATGCCTGGCATAAAGTGGGTTGTCTGTTTCATTTTTTTCTTTCCTCTTACAGGCTCCGCAGACATTGACTTCCCTTCTAATTGTCAGCAGCCTTTCAGACTGTTTAGGATGGGTGTCATCTTTTCTAACTTTGGCTGTTTTATTTAAAAACACATACAGGGTATGTGTAGTCTGTCTCCCTTTCATGTTTGGGAATCTTTATAACATCAGAGCTAGAAGCTGTTGCCTTTCCTACCTGTCATACAGATGGAACTTGCTTTCTTGCCTTCTCCTGCTCCCTGGATAGTGGATACTGAGAGCGCACCCATGGAGTTAGATGCCATGCCTGGTTCTAAGATATCAGGAGTGCCTGTAACAATCTGGGAACTTCCACAGTGTTCTTGAAGGTGTATTTCAAATGCCAAGAACACAGAAAAAGATAAGAACCCAGAGAGGACCCCTGAAATGATACATCAGAAGCCCTCCTCCTAATGGAATGTATGTTGGAACAGTAAAAGGTTTAGGGTAAATTAAGGGGTTCTGAAAAGATAGAGTGATATGGAAAAACACACCCATTTATATAAATGCCAGGAACTTTTGACCCTCTGAGTTGAATGTGAGAAGTGGTAGCTCTTCCTTTGATGCCGTGATGCACCATAAGGTCAAAAATAATCCCCAAGATACTGAAACCCGTTGTGATCTCCATCTACTCTTTACTCTCTGTTACCCCACAATATGGGGCAGCCATGGCTCTGAAAGGTGGCAGGAGAGGAAGAAAATTAGACATTAATCACTGATGTGTCAGTAATGTGTGTCTCCTAAGACAGAAAGACAGCCTACTGTTCAATGTCCCAGTAACCATCATTGTTCATAGGTATCCTGATGCTGATTCTGAAACTCTCAGGATTTTGAAGGGCAGTCAGTCAAAGACACTTGGGGAAGATCTGGCACCATCCCTAATTCCTGCTTCCCAGATGCAGAGACCTGGTCTCAACGTAATCAGGAAACTTCATTCCTAATTACACACTAAATCAACTCAATCCACTAAAACGTACAAGTAGTTCCCGAAAAAAATAATTCGCCTTGGAAATATTGCATACATCATACGTACAATTTTATGGACAAGAGTACATTGTGAATAGACTTACACAATCCCCTAAAACAAAATCGTGTTTTGGCAATAAATACTCTGGGCATAATTTAGTCGAGGTGTGAAAATTTCACCCAGTGTTTCATTCTGTACTTTATAATCATAGGCCCCCCGTTTCTTACTGGGTAATTACTACTTTGTTCGTCTCTTATCATTACCAGCAAAGTCCCTATTCTTTAATTGGATATTAAACACGGAGCCACAGCCCATGGAAAGTAGAAATGCTTCTCATAATGCTGGTCATCTGGAGCTCCAGCGTATTAATTTCTGGCACAGAATTTGAGGTTTGATGGAAACTGTAAAAGAGACATTTGTGTTTAGTTAAATTGAGAAATTTGTAAGAACAGGGCATCTGAAGTTCGCCTGCAGCAATGCACATTCAGTTGCCTCTCTGCGTTGGAATACAGCTCTGCATGACTGCGGGCATCCTCTAAAGTCCATCTCAACAATTCCAAGCATAATTTGGGTTTCTATGCAAACCAACAAGATTGAGATACAGAAAAGAGACAGAAGCAAAATTCATTTAAAAACAATGAAACCATTACATTCTATGTAATCGTTATAGTGAACTTATTTCTCAAACCTGATTTGGACATGGCCACAGTGCTCAAACGAGGTCATGGATTTGTATCTAGTGAAGTGGTAACAAGGAAAGACCTACAGAGACAGCATTCACATGCCCCCAAAAGGAACAAAGCATTCCTAATTGCCAGGTAGCTCAGTGAACGGTGGAAGGCAATGAAGCATAACCAGCCTCACAGAATTAATGAGGCAAAATGGATCCCATCACAGTCTTGAGTGCTATTCACCACTTCCTCCCTCCACAGGACCACGGTGGGAGTTTCAGGAACAGAAATTTGCCTCAGGTTCATAGGAGACTGAAAGTTCTATCCAAAGTACCCTGGGCATGGACAGGGTCCTCGGGAACTGAAGTCCTCGCGGTGCTAAGGATGCTCTGATCCAGGGAGAGGGCAATAGATTTCACTCGGCTTTTCTCCCCTTTTACCTAGTTTACCAGCAATTCTCACGTCATTCACAACCCAGAAGATTCTTATTCCAATTTTGCACATCTCAAACCATGGCTGGAAGCATTCCAATGCAAACACAAGTTTTCCTTGGGAGCTGTCAACTTAAACCTGCCTGGCAGGGAGCACAAGTTCCATGGGATGTTAATTGTGATTACTTGAGCACAGAAATTAAGGTTGCAGGATATAAGCTGATGAGAGAAAAGACCTTATCTGTCTTATTCACAGCTATATCCCTGGGTCTAGAAGACATGGCAGGCCCTCAACTGAAAGCCTGTTGAATTAATCAGTAAAAATAGTAATGAACAAAAGTAGGAAAAACACTAGAAGATAATTACATAACATGAAACAAGTTTCTTTTCTGTTGAGTTTTCTCAGCCTATTAATTACTAAGGTATACAGAAAATCTTTAAGCTGTTATTTAGTTGGCACATTTCCCAAATATAATATATGAAACCTTTTCTCTCATATCGTCTGATGGGAGTAGTGTTAAACAAAGCATGTTAAATTAACCTTATTTAAACTCTGAGAACTGTTGTTCTCTAGGCAAAATACACATGCCAATTTTTAAGGCACAATTTTTTTATTTCAGTAGCTTTTGGGGTGCAAGTTGTTTTCGGTTACATGGATGAATCATACAGTGGTGAATTCTGAGATTTTAGTGCACTTGTCACTCGATTAGTTTACACTGTACCTAATGTGCAGTTTTTTTTATATCCCTGCTCCCTCCACCATCACTTTCCTGAGCCTCCATTATATCACCCTATATGCCTTTGTAGCTTGGCTGCCACTTATAAGTGAGATCACGCGATATTTGATTTTCCATTCCTGAGTTACTACACTCAGGATAATGGCCTCCAGCACCATCCAAGTTGCTGCAAAATACATTATATCATTCCTTTTTATGGCTGAATAGTATTCCGTGGTATATGTAGACCACATTTTCTTTACCCATCCAGTCAATGGGCATTTAGGTTGGTTCCGCATCTTTGCAATTGTGAATTGTGCTTGTATAAACATACATGTGCAAGTGTCTTTTTCATGTAATGACTTTTCCTGTGGGTAGATACCCAGTAATGGGATTGCTGGATTGAATGGTAGATCTACTTTTAGCTCTTTAAGGAATCCCCGTACTGATTTTCCTAGAGGTTGTACTAACTTACATTCCCACTAGCAGCGGATGTGTTCTCTTTCCCACGTCCACGCTAACATCTGCTGTCTTTTGACTTTTTAACAACAGTCATTCTTGTAGAAGTAAGGTGGTATCTCGTTGTTGTTTTAATTTGCATTTGCCTGATGATTAGTGATGCTGAGCATTTTTTAATGTTTGTTGGCCGTTTGCATATCTTTTGAGAAGTGTCTATTCATGACCCTTTGCCCATTTTTTAATGAGATTGTTTGTTTTTTCTTGGTGATTTGTTTGAGTTCCTCATAGATTCTGGATTCTGGTCCTTTGTCAGATGAACATGCCATTTTTTTTTAAAATTGAGACAGAGTCTCGCTTTGTCGCCCAGGCTGGAGTACAGTGTCGTGATCTTGGCTCACTGTAACCTCTGCCTCCCGGGTTCAAGCGATTCTTCCTGCCCCAGCCTCCTCAGTAGATGGGATTAAAGGCATGTGCCACCATGCCTAGCTAATTTTTGTAATTTTAGTAGAGACAGGGTTTTGCCATGTTGGCCAGGCTGGTCTTGAACTCCTGACTTCAGGTGATCCGCCTGCCTTGGCGTCCCACAGTGTTGGGATTACAGGCATCAGCCACCACGCCTGGCCAAACATGCTATTTTTAACTGTAGTTTGCAGCAGTGATGATTAGCTCTAATGCAACATATTTCACAAATCATATCCTGAAATGCTAAGATGTACATAGGCAGCTCACTGTAGAACTGTGTGTCTGTGTGTGTGTATGTAGAGAGAGACTATAGTGGACCGTGTACTACAACTGTAATAAACTGTGTATCTGTATCTATATCTATATCTCTACATGTATATATGGCCTGAGTTGTACCGCTTTGCCAGCGAGAGCTGGTGGAGCCGACTGTATACTCCACCACTGGCATACCCTAATGAACATCTCCCGTGCTATTCTGAATTGAGCATGGGTGGTAAACACGTGTCACTTCCTCTTCTGAGGTTTCTCATTCTGGTGACTATTTTTTTTCCAGCCAACAGTTTTGGCCTATATTGGCTGATGGGGAAGTACAGGTAACAATATCATAACTTTTACCAAAAAACAAAGGGAAGGTATCATGCTGGCTATTCAAAGGCATGTTTTGAGATTGGCCTCTCCAACTCTTTCCAGATGAGCCTTAGGGTACGGCCTGATATTGTGCTCCAGGGTAGATGCTTGGGATAGAATGGCCAGTGAGGAATATTTCAATACCAATTGTGTACTTGCTGATAGTTTCATTAAAATCCCCACACTTCTGGTATCTCAACAGGAAACAATAAGGTCACTCCCAAGCTCTCAGAAAGAACAGGGAAAGGTAGACAAGGAAAAGACCATGTTGCTAATGAAAAGCCTGGAGCAGAAGAAGCACCCGAAAGAAGTCCTATGGGGCTGCTGTATCCCCTGCAGGAGGCTGCTCTGCTTTAAGAAATGACTGTGCGGGTGCTGCTGGAGCCAGAGCAGCAAGGCTCTGGCTGATGTCCACTGGTCATCAACGCCCACAGGTTCCCAGACACTGGATTTCACCTGCTCGGAGACCTGCCTCTTAGCAACTCTTCCCCTCAACTACCAGGATCTCCTGTTGGCAACTAAATACACTCAAATCTCTTCATTCTTAAACAAATCAAAACAAAAAATGTCCACCACAGCCATGATGAGGAATAAAATATCTATACAAATCTATAAGAATGTATTTTAAATATTAGCAACTTAATTGAAAAAATGCTAACTTTATTGTTTAGAAAATTAAGGTTTTTATGTAAGTGTTCAGTTCCCAGATTCAAAATAATTTTTGATAATGTGGTCCTAGATGGCATCCAAAAAACAGGATTAGGAAGTGTAGAACACTTTAAAAACTAAAAACTACTACTTCTACTGTATTACTAAGTTACTATTATGTGTTAATGATGTTATCTCCATTGTTTATAGAAAGAAATTACAGTTTATTGTCATTTTATCTTATTTCTACATCATTAGTGGTGCTAGAGATAAAATTCAAAGTCATAAAAATGCAAATTACTAATAAATAAAACTAAATAATGCAAATTAAGATGAGACGGTATTTTTCCCCATCAGAGTGTGATGAAAAATACATTCTCATACATAGTTTGTGGAAGTAAGTTTGGTAAAACCATGTTGAAAAGTACTTAGGCAACTTATATCAAAAGTCTTAAAAGTATTCATTTCCTTTAAAAACCATTAATTCTACTTTTAAGAATCTCTCCTCTGTAATCCCAGTGTTTTGGGGGTGTCAAGGTGGGCAGGTCATTTGAAGTCAGGAGTTCGAGACCAGTCTGACAAAAATGGTGAAATCCTGTCTCTACTAAAAACACAAAACAATTAGCTGGGTGTGGTTGCATATGCCTATAGTCCCAGCTACTCAGGAGGCTGAGGCCAGAGAATTGCTTGAACCACGAAAGCAGAGGTTGCAGTGAGCTGAAATCATGCCACTGCACTCCAGTCTGGGCAACGGAGTGAAACTCTATCTCAAAAAAAAAAAAAAAAAAGTACAGACTAAAATATGTAATTATATGACATCTTATATAATGGATTATTTTGTTATTAAAACTTTTCTTGAAGAATATTTAAATATTTGTAAAATCATTTTGTCTCATGCAACATTTGGGGCATACTTATACTACACACACATACACACAGAGGGAGAGAGAGATTGCTTATGTGAAACTCAAATTTAATTGGGCATCCTGTATTTTATCAGGCAACTCTACACCCAACCGTCCAGAGACCCCCCCGTGCTGCCAAAGGCAATACCTCTGGTTGGGCGTGAATCCCTCTGGAGGCCAGAAACAGCAAGACTCTATAATGAAGTAACCACTGGCCTCCAAGGTGCCACCTTGCCTGGCTTTCCCTCCATCACTCTGGCCTCGCTCCGTTACCTCGCAAGTGTTCCGCAGCCTGGCATTCTCTCTTGAGAAAGTACTTTCAACAAGGGAGCAGCATTTTTCAAATGACTTTACTTTCTTGTATGTTTTACCAATTCCCAAATTCAAACCTATAGCCCCAAACTCCCTGAACTGAGGCATTTGCTGGGGGAAGGAGGAGAAAGGGAGGGATTTGTGAGAAAATAGAAGTCGATAGGGTTCTATTAGTGTTAATAGAACTTGTGTAGGGATAATAGAACTTGACACACTGTGGGTGTGAGGGTTGAGGGAGCAGATGAGGTTTAGAGGAGGCTTCATGCATGGGACCTGGTGGGTCGGGTGCCGGGTACTGATGAAGGCACTGCAGGGAGTGAGGGCACAAGTGCCGTGGGGAAGGTGAGTTGCTCTTGGTGAATTGCAGGTGCCTGACAGCCATCCCAGTGAGGAGGCTAAGTAGAAACTGCATGTGGGTCCCACACATGCCCGGGCTCCTACTCTGCCTCCTCCTCTCTACAGTTCTTACCACCGTTTCCACCACCAACACCTGCTCCACCTTGAATTGCACCCCCACTTCAAGACTCAGGGCAAATGTCACCTTCTCTGGGAAACTTTTCTTGACCCTTCCCAATCTCACGTGCCACCTTGCACGGTCATGCACTGTTTATTTGTGTGTGAGCCACCACACGGTGAGATCCCTCCAGCCAGGAAGACTCTCTGATTCAGTTTTATATCCTCAGCACCAACCACTGCACCTTCTGCAAAGTGGAACTCTCAGCAAACGTTCCTGGAACTGAACTAGTCTATTACCTGTAAGACACTATGCTAAGAGCTATAAAAGATGCAAAAATGCAAAAGACACAGTCAACTTAGAGACTCTGTGGGGATATAAAGCTTGAACATTTAACAACTCCACTTTTATCTTTGTAGTTATTCTTATGAAAATACAATCTAGCTTGATACTGGCAGAGAATATGTAAAGTAAATAGGAACAAGCTCAATTGTTTGATATTGAGAAAAAACTGGCAAGCCAGTGGAGAACATATGCATATAATTTTCTGTAATTTTTACAGTATCAAGCAAGTTCTTATGATGCAGTAAACACAATTCTCTCTCAATATCAAACTTAATATAACAACTGGGGTCCTCTCAAGGAACAGAGAGCATCTCCAAATTAAAATGACTCAAGGATAATTTAATTAAAAAAAATTTACGAAGACAACAGTAAGACACTGGCAAACCACAAGGGAATGTGGAGCAACCCAGTAACCCTGGGCAGGCAACTGCAGAGCCCTGTTCTCTGCAGGGCCTGAGGGAAGGTGCAGGGCTGAGGGACCCCATCAGACCCATTGTCCAGAAACTGGCTGGGGGATGCCCTGGATGTCATCCAGTGGTTCTCAAACTTTTTGGTCTTAGGACTCCCTTCACATTCACCAAAATTATACACAATGTGACTGGGTGTGATAGCTCATGCCTGTAATCCCAGCACTTTGGGAGGCTGAGGCAGGTGGATCACCCAAGGTCAGGAGTTGACCAGCCCAGTCAAAATGGTGAAACACTGTCTCTACTAAAAATATAAAAATTAGCCAGGCATGGTTGTGGGCACCTGTAATCCCAGCTACTTGAGAGGCTGAGGCAAGAGAATCACTTGAACCCAGGAGGCAGAGTTTGCAGTAAGCCGAGATTGCCCCACTGCACTCCAGCCTGGTAGATACAGCAAGACTCCATCTCGAAAAAAAAAAAAAAAATTCAGAATGCCAAACAATTCTTTATGTGTGACTTACACCTATCAAGATTTACTGTGTTAGCAATTAAAGCTGAGAGGTTTTTTTTTCCCCCTAATTTTTTGCTTTTATTATTAACTGACACATAATAATTTTACATATTTACAGGGTACAGTGTGATATTTCAATACATATTCAATACCATATTTCAATACCGAGTGTAGTGTTCATATCCGGGTAACTTACTTCCTCCTCACCTTATCATTTATTTGTGTTGGGAACATTAGCAATTGAAAATATATAATAAATTGTTACTGTAGTCCCCTTACGGTGCTGTAGAATGCTAGAAGGCACTTCTCTCTAGCTTTACTGTTATATACATTAACCAACCTCTTGCTATCTGCCCCCAACCTTTCCTACCCCTAGTAACCACTATTCTACTCTAAAACTGAGAAGATTTTATAATGTTCATACATTTATTTAAAATAACAATAATAAATCCACGCCCTGTTAAGCATAATTAACATTAACATATTTTAAAAATGGCCACTTTCAGAATAAATAGTGAGGAGAGTGGCATTGATTCACATTTGGCAAATGTCTTTGATGCCTGAGGCCTGGCTTAACATAAAAGGCATGTATCCTCTGATCTGCCGGCATCCTATCTGCTGCAATATCACATCACCTCTGAAAAGCTACACTACACGCTCATGAAAGCGGAGGAGTGCAAAGGGGGGGAATCAGGTCTTGCCATCACTGTGAAATTAGTGTTGACCTTGCAAACTCCTCCAAGGGTCTCAGTGATGACACCGATGACTGCAGCTATCAGACCCCAGGTCCTCAGGCACAGACTGTGCAGCTCATCTCAGTGTCCCCGGGCACGTAGGTCCCGTAGTAGTACCCAAAACATACTTGCTAAATAAGTGGGTAGATGGACAGTTTTAGCAGTTAAAAGAATTTTGCATAAAAACAAATATCATTTTATCTAATTAAAAAAAAAAATAGGACCACTGGGCACAGTGGTGGCTCATGCCTGTAATCCCAGCACTTTGGGAGGTGGAGGTGGGTGGATCACCTGAGCTCAGGAGTTCGAGAACAGCCTGGTCAACATAGCAAAACCCCGTCTCCACCAAAATTACGAAAATTAGCCAGGCATGGTGGCGGGCACCTGTAATCCCAGCTACTTGGGAGGCTGAGGCAGGAGAATTGCTTGAACCTGGGAGGCAGAGGTTGCAGTGAGCCAAGATCACTCCACTGCACTCCAGCCGAGGTGACACAGCGAGACTCCGTCTCAAAAAAATAAATAAATGAATAAAAATAAAAAAATTTTTAAAAAGGACGAAATTTATAACTACAAGCTTATGTAATGCTCTTGCAATTGTTCTGCTCACTTATTTGTCCTTTAGGAGCCATCAACAAAAACACACCATGTCCACCCATGAGTAGTGACCAGGGCTTTGAATATGTCTTCCTTCGAGATACTCAACAGAGGGTGGGATGTCTGGGGGTGCTGAGTCACACACAAGACAAAAGCGCTGGGAGGGAAGGAGACTGGATTCCAATCCAGCTCTGCCAGGAGCCAGCTCTGTAACTGGAAGAAGGTCAGGCCTGAAATCTCATTTTCCCACCTATAAAATCAAGCAGCTGAGTTGTGTGCGGTGTGCCGCTGTAACCCCTCTGACCTCCCCTATCATGTGGGTCTATTTCTACTCACTAGGTAACTGGCCACCCTCATAATCACTTAGAAGCACATCCCCTTAACCCTCCAAAATGCCAGCTCTCAGCTACACCAGGAATCGAACATGGTGATTTTTGTTGAACAGAGCACCTGTCTGGGAAAACAAATTGCTCATTTTTCAAATGATTGCTTGACCTCCTTCAAAATTATATATTGAAGACAAAAGAGAAATATTTCTTTCATAGCCAAAAAATACTTTTTCATTTGAGTATTGACCTCAAGAGGGTCCTATTAGAAAACCTAGGCAATGGCAGCATTCCTTTCCTGCTACATTGAAATACCATTTTGAAGAGAGGAAAAAGATGACCAGCTGAGTTAGGAAAATTCCATTTCTACTTAC